AGCGAACTGAGAGAGCGGGCCGAGCGGTATCTCGAGAGATACGACGAGATCGACCCGTGAGAGGAGCGAGGGAGAGAGGAAACAAAGAGATGAGAGATGAGCTGACGTGTTGGCGAAAGACAAGAGCGAGACGAGAGAGTGAGGAGGTGCTGATAAGAAGATGTCGAGAGAGAGAGAGGCGAAGATGGATGGAGGGTGTGAAAAGAGGAGGCGAGATGAGAGAGACGAGAGAGAGAGAGGATGGAGAGGAGAGTCGGAGGAGGAAGAGATCGAGAGTCAGAAGAAGAGGAGAGATGAGAGAGAGAGAGAAGAGAGATAGCTGAGCTGATGGAGCGGAGAGCGAGAGAGGAGAGAGAGAGAGAGAGAGGAGGAGTGAGAGACGGAGGAGAGAGAAGAGGAGAGAGACCTATGAGAGAGATGAGAAGAGAGAGAGAGAGATACTGAGGCGGAGACAAGCCCCCCCCCCCTCCCCCGCCTCGCATCTCGCGATAGCACTTGCAGCGACCATTGTTGCGGCTGGCGGGCCGCCCTTCGTCGGAGCGAGGCGCTATTTGCAGCGTGGGCCGTATTTGAGCGAGAGCTTGACTGAGCTCTGGAGCGCATTCTAGCTGGTGATCCTGTAAGTTCCCTGGTCAGATGAGGGCATTCGAGGTGGTGTGCGAGGGAGAGGGAAGTCACGTACCAGAGACAGAGAGAGAGAGAGAGAAGGGGGGGGAGAGAGGGAGAGAGAGAGAGAGAGACAGAGAGAGCACGCACACGGCCCACACACCGCTGCGCACGCCACGCACGCACACGGCACGACGCACACGCACGCAGGAGCGGATGACGTCGCGCCAGCTATCTGATGCCGGTATTTACGTGGCGATGCCAAAATCCGGCGTCTGCTCTGACGGTCTTGCGCCTCGCTCGTTGTCGTGCGCCGACTGTCTCTCGTCTCTGCTCTCTCTCTCTCTCTCTCTTTCTCTCTCTCTCTCTCTCTCTCTCTCTCTTCGGCTCTCTCTCTCTCGCTCTCTGCCGCTCCTGTGCTCCCCTCGCTCCACCTCTATCACTCGTCTCTCTCTCTCTCTCTCTCTCTCTCTCTCTCTCTCTCTCTCTCTCTCTCTCTGCTCTCTCCGCTTCTTCCCTTCCCTCTTCTCTTCTCTCTTCTCTCTCGATGCTGCGCTCTCCGGATGTGAGTGTCTGATTCGCTTGGTGGAAAAGGTTGGGCTTTGGGTGTGGTGGCGCTGCGTTAGTTCACGCATTCGATAAATCTGTAGGCGTGTGGCAATGTCCAAGGCCTATGGCTTCCAGTTCTGTCAGTGGTCTGTTTCTCTTGGTGTGTGTGTCTGTCACGTAACAGTGTTGTGCTGCGTGCGTACGTGCGTGAGTGGTGGCGTGTGCGTGCGTATATGTGGCATGCGTGCGCCTGTGTGCGTTTGCGTGTTTTGCGCGTGGTGGTTGTGTCGTGACGATTGCCTTGTCTGTTTCCATTTCATTCGTCCTTGGTGTGTGTTTCGTGCCGCGTGGTGCGCGTGCGTGGCGGTCGGCGTGCGTGCATGTGTCGTGCCGCGTGGGCTTCCATTGCCGCGTGCTCGCGCACGTGCGTGATCCATCGTGCTGTCGTGCGTTGCGTGCGATAGTTATGTAAGACGAGAGCCGTATCATTCATCTATCGAGCTATTATTATCTATCATCATATATCTGTCAAGCTTTCGATAAATAGCGGGGAAGACAGAGAGAAAGTTGGTGCGCGCTTGCGAACCCCCCTTCCCCGGAGTCAAATTAGGCAACAGTTTGTGTTCGAACTCTTAACGCGATTTCTTTGCCGAACACGCCGAAGTTTTCTCTACGAAACATGAAGTACATCAAGAGTGTTCTATTACCATTGGTGTTGAGCCGTCCGCTCGAAAGCCCCCACTTTGAATAAGTTGCGCGTATAGCGGTCGCTAAAATGTGTTTCGAGAGGAAATCTTAGCGGTTAAAATTTTCCGGGCGGTGGGGAGAAATTATTGAGCCCGAAAATCGATAGGGCTCGAATATCCACAAACTGTGCGGCTGTTTTTTAACTGGCTCCCAGTTAAAAACCAGAGTTGATCAGAGTTGCACATGTCGTGCACGTACACCGGTTTGAAATGTTGCGCGTTTAAACTAGATGGACGGCTGAGATGTGCCTCAGATAGTTTCTCGACGTTTGCAGATGCCTTTTCAGAGTCGTTCAGACGTTCGGGAAGTTTATATAGTTTTGCCAAAGCGGCAGACTAGAGGTATGCAAGTATACTAACGGGTCGCTATGTATAACCTGTGGTGATAAAACTGTTTCTCAGAAGTCTGTAACTGCTGAAAGAAGGCTCAAGGAGATTGAGAGAGAGCAACAAGCCGAGCGAGACGATAGAGAAAGAGGAGAGAACGAGAGAGAGACAGACAGACGAAAGCGAGAGAGAGAATGAAGTGGCAACTGCGGAGAGAGAGAGAGAGAAGGAGAGAGATACCTTGAGAGAGAGGAGCGGGAGAGAGAGAGGAAGAGAGCGAGAGCGACGAGTGGAGTCAACGCGAGAAGCAGAGCAGTGGATCGCGTCGATCGCCCTCTCGGTGCTCTACCGAGGGACCACTCCATTGATTCGCGAGTAAGCTTCTCTCCATCCTCGTAATACGCTGTGCCTCGTTGCCTACGCTATCACTGCGCGGGCGTGCCAATGCCATGCGTGCGTGGTGTATTCATCGCACGGTGTGCCATGCCGATGGCAAGTGCCTGTATCATCGCACCGGCCTGGCCATGCCATGGCCGTTGCGGTCCGTGGTGTACTCATCGCACGGTCTGTGTCATGCGTATGCTGGTGTGCGTATATATCATTGCGTGGCGTGCCATGCCATGGCGTGGTGTATCATCGCGCGGTGTGCCATGCCATGGCGTGGTGTATATATCATTGCGTGGCGTGCCATGCCATGGTTGTGTGTATCAATCGCCGGCGTGTGCATGGCCATGCCGTCGGTATATATCTATTTGCGTGCGCTGCCATGCCATGGCTGTGTGGATTGTAATTCATCGCGCGGGTCTGCCATGCCATGGGTCTGGTGTATATATCATTGCGTGGCGTGCTGCAGTGGGTCGGTGTATATATCATTGCGTGGCATGGCATGGCGTGACATAGCGCAGCGTATCATTAGCCGCGTTCACACGGAGCAATTTGAACCCTGGTCGAAAAACGATTTAATCGATATTATAATATTATATGACAAGGCGTGGCCTGCCGCGTGCCACCGACCCGCTCACTGCGGGACATGGCATCAACGCTGCACTCGGTTGCATAAACAAGCCGCTGACCCGTGGCTAGCACGACCCCGCGTATCATTATATAGCAAGGTGATGCGTGACCGTGGGTGGTCAGGGCGTGGCACCTGTGGCGCTGCGGTGACGGGTGGGTGGTGGTGGGGGCGAAGGTACATTTTTCAAACTGAAAAAGATGTCTGGACGCCGGCCACCGCCGTCGCCTCGGCGACTAGACTGTCGACGCTCTCCGCGCCGGCAGTGCCGCCGGAGCGTGCGCGGCTCGGGGCGCGGGCGGCCGTCTTCTGTGGGCGCCTCGGGCGCGCGCGGACAACGCTGAGTTGGACCGCTCCTAACTAGTTGACGCTCTGCTTAAATAAGCCTGCGGCTCTCGCATCCAGAAACGGCAATTTCCTTGGAGAGATGCAGCCCGAGAGGACGAAGCGAAGGCGAATAGTGCTGGCAGGGCAGTGCTCGTCGAATTCTATTTTGTCCGATTAAAAACCGATTTGCGAGTCAGATTGCGCGTCCACGTGTGTCTGCCAAGCGGGACGATGTATAAATATGTACGGTGTGTGTGGGGCGTGTGCGTGCGCGTGCGCGTGCGCGGTTGGCTGCTCGCGCCGCTCCCGTCATGCCTCCGTGTGTGCGTGTTGTGTGGGGCGGGGATGGTGTGAACGTGAGCGTTTGTGTCTTTAGGTGCTCCTCTGCCGTTCTCGAGCGGTCCGCGCGCACCGGAAGCGGCCGGACGTGTGGGAGCCATAAGTCACACCTCACCTGACCTACCAGTGTGTGGGGGGGATGTGTGGCTTGTGTGTTGGGCGGAGGGTGTGTGTGGGTGTGGGCGGATGTGTGTGTATGTATGTGGGGCGGAGGTGGAACCTGTGTGTGGGTGAGGCATGTGATGTGTTGTGTGCTGTGTGTGTGTGTGACGCTCTGTGTTGTGTTTGTGCGTATGCCGCGCCGCGCGTGTGAGTGATCGCGTGCGTGTGTATGTACACACTTACATTACCCCAGCTCTTCTTCTTCTTCTTCTTCTTCTTCTTCTTCTTCTTCTTCTTCTTCTTCTTCTGCTTCTTCTTGCTCTTCGCATGACAAGTGCAGATGGGACGGTGAGTAAGCATCGTCGCGTGTCGCCGGTGAGGAGGAGGAGGAGGAGGAGGCTGTGATGTCGGACACCGCGGCCCTCCGCGACTTCCTCCGCGGCCTCCTCCACCGCGGCTTCTTCCGCCTCCTCCTACGCCGCCTCCTCTGCTGCCGCCTCCTCTTCCGCCGCTTCCTTTGCCGCTTCCTCCTCCGCCTCCTCTGCCGCTTCCTCTGCCGCCGCCTCCTCTGCCGCCGCCGCCGCCGCCGCCGCCGCTAACGTGATTTTCCCGTTCATTAGATCCCGCGCGGCCCGACTAACGAGATTGAGCGTCGGGAGGTGCACGCCGACAATCGCGGCGGTGTCGCTTTGTGTCCCGCTCTCTCCGGAGAGGGGAGGGGCAGATAGAGCGAGTAAGCAAGAGCGGGAGAGAGCGAGAGAGAGAGGGGCGGGAGGGAGGGGGGCAGATAGAGCGAGTAACCAAGAGAGGGAGAGAGCGAGAGAGAGAGGGGCAGGAGGGAGGGGGGCAGATATAGCGCATAAGCAAGAGAGGGAGAGAGACGGGAGGGGGAGGGAGGGGGAGGGAGTAGGGCAGATAGAGCGAGTAATCAAGAGAGGGAGAGAGAGAGAGAGAGAGAGAAAAAAAACAGGAGAAAGCGAAAGAGAAAGAGAGATGTGCAGATCTAGACAGACAGACGGGCAAGCAAGCAGGCAGGCCGACAGGCAGACAGAGACGCAAAGATAGATGGTGATAAATCGATCGATAGAGCGGACGGAGGCAGTGAAGGAGGAGTGAGGCAGTGACGGAGGAGACAATGAAGAGAGGCAGAGCTCGAGATAAGGAAGAGAGATGAGAGAAGCTGGCAGCGATGAGAGCCGGGAGTTGCGAGGGAAAGCCGACGAGATCCCTCCCGAGATCCCTCCCGAGATCCCGAGTGAGTGGCAGGAGATATTGGCGTGTGCGTGGAAGCGTGAACCATAGAGCACCCGCTACTACAACTGCTACCTACACCTGGCCATCGGTCTGCAACACCACCCTCACCTCACCCCCACCCTCACCTCACCCTCGCCCTGACTTCGCCCCACCCTCACTTCACCTCACCCTACCCTCACCTCACCCCACCTTCACCTCACCCTCGCCCTGACTTCGCCCCACCCTCACTTCACCTCACCCTACCCTCACCTCACCCCACCTTCACCTCACCCTCGCCCTGACTTCGCCCCACCCTCACTTCACCTCACCCTACCCTCACCTCACCCCACCTTCACCTCACCCTCGCCCTGACTTCGCCCCACCCTCACTTCAC